CTCAGTTCAGTTTAAATAGTATCTTTGCAATCATTTGCAATCAAGTCAACGATATCGCTGGAAATTAAGTGTCCCCAGCTAAGCAAGCCAGAGGCGACAGCGGCAAGGAACCAAAACTCCATCGGTGACAGAATGGAGAAAAAACCTTGGGAGAAACCAGGCTCAGTCGGGGGGCCAGTTCTCCTCTGGCCAGACGAACCAGCAGTTCAATTCCAGGCTGCAGCAAAGTCACATTGTGCAGAGGACTCATCTGGTTCCTGTGGTCTTGTCCCGGTGGCCGTCTGAGACAAGGTCTTTACAGGGGATCTGTATCTGGGGCTCATCTAGTTGTCCTGGTCTCCACTGTCTTTCAGGGCTGTAGATGTCCTTTCTAGGTTCTGATCCACCATCTGGGATTCCAGAGCGCTAAATAGTCAAGTCAAGTTTATTTGTACAGTGCTTTTCACCATTCAAATCACTGCAAAGCAACTTTACAGCAAATTTAGTTTCTACAATATGTGTAATCCAGATGTCCCTAACTACAATTTTTGTCATGTCATTTATAATCAGTATTGGATTACAATTTGTAATCTACCAGCACTGCCAATAGCTGCTTGCTTTCTTTCTTTTTTTGTTCTTTTTCTTTGCAAGCGATTTGGCAATACACGTACAACAGCAAAATGTCCCAGACAAATCCATAGATGTGCACTAAAAGCGGAAGATAAGTGATGGTTTAGTTTGGCTTTGCTTAGAAATAATGGTCATTTTCTCTCACAATAGTCAAAACCCTATCATCAACAGAAAATGTAATACTATTACGAGCGGTATTGTCACTTTAATGAATGGTCCATTGTCGGTTCCACAATGAGCTTCCTCTCAACATCATCACACAGAGTGGATACCTCCAGCAAAACATTCCTCAGTAAATATCCGCCACAAGGGAGGGGTTCTGCGCTATTCATTACCATCCCATGATAAAGCATGCGCTCTGTTGGCTGTTACTATGACTACCAGGATCTTCTCCAAACCAATGAGAGCCCTTCACTTCTGTCGACCCAAAACAAGTGCACTGAGAAGGGGGTCGGCATGTCTCATCACTGATCCGCGTTTTCAATCTCTTGAGTCAAGAAAGCGCGTCTGAATTCGGAATATTGTGCCCGGGCAGCCATAGTGCTTGTTGAGAGGGACAATAACAACCGACTGCTTGCCGAGAAGCTGCGCGAGGGAACTGGCGCGAGAACGGTTTCATGTTTTTGATGCAAACACACGTGTGTGCTTTCACTTAACGGGATAATAATTTATGAGGGAATATAAACCGCGTTTGTTCAGTCTGCTGGATTGCCCAACATATAGGAGGTAAGGGCTGAAAGAACAATGTGCATTTATTTAATTTGACCCTTGCGTTATAAAAAATGTGATTTTTCATTAAACAGTATACACTACAAAATATGATTCTTTATTTAACATTATGCGCTATAAAATTATGTCATATTGAAAAATGCACTATAAAATTGGATTTAGCATTACACAATATGCACTACAAAATGTTTTGTATTTAACAGTGTGCACTAAAATGTCTTTATTACTGCACGTGAGTTGCATTCGGTGAGGTTGGACATGCTGTGGGATTCTCTCACACCTGAAACCGTCAAGCACCGTGATGTTCAGAATCATGTGAGAGCAGATGCATATGAGATCCAGTAGACTGTATGGAAGTATCATAGACAGAACTACGTCAGCAGCACAAGTGCAAGGGGCCTGATGCAAATGAAGTATTTCATGATTAAAGGACCCAGGGCCTTGCGCGTACCTCCACTGGAGCTTTAAATGATCCCTCGGTCAATGGTTGCTGTACAATTGTCATTAATGTATCACAGACTCTGATGTGCTTCAGCAATCGCAAGGTCAAGGAGGTCATTACAGATGTGCACTACGTCATAGACGAGGCCAGCTACATAATAAATAAAAGGGTATATGATATCATTGTGCCGTTTTTTTTTTTTCATAGAATGACACAGTTCTTATAGGTAATATCTGGAACTCACAAGTTCTACCACTCTCATCATTGTGTTTTTTTTTTGGTCTTTTTAATATTATTATTTATGGCTGTAAAAACAAGTTGGGTTAAGATTGAGTTGGTCTACTGCTATTGTGAGTGTCAAAGGTCATGATAAAGGCCTTAGCACTTAATTATTTCAATATTTTAACATGACTGCCATGAGTTACCCTTGTAAAAAAGAAGTACACTTTAGCATCATTTCGAAAGGAATAGGCTACTTATTAAGGAAATTAAAAATGGAGTTAATTGCAAACTGAATGTGATGTTTTTGGACACTTAATTGCTTGTTATTTGCAATTAAATGAAATATATTTTGATATGAAATTAGGCCTAGTTGAACTTAGTGAACTAATGTCAAATATCATTAGTATGTCAAAAAGTACTTTTAAATTGAAAGTGAAAGTGACGTGACATGTGGCTAAGTATGGTGACCTGTACTTGGAATTAGTGCACTGCATTTAACCCATCCAAAGTGCACACACACAGCAGTAAACACACACACACACACCCTGCCAAATTGGCCTTAAGATACATTTTATATGTAATTTCAAAATTACTTATACTGTCGGGTTAGAGAGTCGGACTCGTAACCCAAAGGTTGCGGGTTCGAGTCTCGTACCGGCAGGGATTGTAGGTGGGGGGAGTGAATAACCAGCGCTCTCTCCCACCTTCAATACCACGACTGAGGTGCCCTTGAGCAAGGCACCGAACCCCCAACTGCTCCCCGGGCGCCACAGCATAAATGGCTGCCCACTGCTCCGGGTGTGTGTTCACGGTTTGTGTGTGTTCACTGCTGTGTGTGTGCACTTAGGATGGGTTAAATGCAGAGTACTAATTTCTAGTATGGGTAACCATACTTGGCCACACGTCACTTCACTTTTTTTATGAAATGTGGTGAAAGTGAACTGATGAATGTACTGATAAGCATTTATAGTATACATATATTACATATATATTTACTTAAGGATGTTAAGGACATTAAATCAAACATTTACAGGATATATTACTTCGCATTTGTTAAGCTCTAGTGATGGATTCTGATGCTTCTATGTTCAACATGTTTTTCCCCCCTGCAGATCTAATACCTTTGCAATTTGACCTTTGTGCTTTCTTCTAAAAAAAAAAGAAAGAAAGAAAGAAAGAAAGAAAAAGAAAAGAATACGTTTTTTCAAAACAAGCATGATGTGTAAGGAAATCTAGACCATGTCAATACAGTGTTTCTCACTCTTAACCTTTAAATATAGGACATACTTCACTTTTGGGAAACTGTTTGTTAAGTCCAGGATCATGACCTGATACCTTCCTTTCAGCTATACTTTAAAGGCTCTGGTTGATGTAAGACCGAAGTCATCTCAGGCACGAGCATATGAGTGATGCTAGCTTTACTGGGTGGTTTTCTTTGGCTCAGGTTTGTGCTGACACCTTCAGTCTCTGCACATTCTCTGAGCTCCTCCTGGGTGACGGTATCTCTCACGACAGGAGGGGGCAGCTCACAAGGTGTCAGGCCTTCTGTGCAGCTCTTACTCTCGTGCTGTTAGAAATAAAAGTCAAATCTCAGCATGAAAAGTCTTTGCAGGGGCAATCAAGTGTGAAGTTTGTCCTGATGTGGGCTATAATGTTTAAGAACACAACAGTAAGAAAAAAACCGTAGAAATGATTTTGGCCCCGATGTCTTCTTGAGGATACATTTGTTTCACATTATATTAAGTGGTAAGTTAATTTGTCTTTCTAGAGCACACTGTAAAAAAAAAAAAAATCTGTGACATTTACAGTAAAATACCGGCAGCTGTGGTTGGCCAGAACTTCACCGTAAAAAATATGGTAGCAACATTTTAGGTTTTACAAACTTAACTTAAATTCACAACAAAGTACCGTATTTCATTAACTGATGTAATGTTAATAAACCAACATATTGAAGTACAAATATCTGTTTTGAACCATTGTAATGCACTGATAACCACCAAAAACTGGTGGTGATGAGAAAGTCACATGATGAACCAAAGCTCATCACAAACAGCTTTTCTACGAGCTGAGGAGGGCAATACTTATATATAGAAGGTGCACAGTGTCATTCACACTAACACTAAACCCCATCATGGTGACACACATGATACTGAAACAATGCAATAAACATTAATTTAACAACATTAGATGTAAGATTAAACCCTAATGTACACAACTGATAAGAAAAAACTATGAAGAAACATAGTTATTTCAACAAAAAAAACATCAAATATGAAGTGTCATGCAGGGAATTCTGGGAGTGTCAATTTACGGTTTGTCACTGTAAATTATACAATGGCTTTTTTCTTTTTCACTTCCAAAAACCGTATTTTTATCAGTATTTTACTGTAAAATTACATTAAATGTAATTGCATTTATTCACCGAATACTGCTAACCAGTTAACAGGTTTCTACTGTAGCATTTTTACAGTATTTTACTGTTAAAATCACAATAATTTTTTACAATGAAGCAGCATGACTTCAGGACAACTTCCTTCACTCTGAACATTAGTCTAGACACCCTGATAAACAAGAACTGTCACCAGCACAAAGCATCAGAGGCAAAAATAAAGCCAGCATCATGGAGCCTGAATCACTAAAATGTATCTTAAGTGAACTTTAAATAAAAGAATGATCTTAAGTGCACTTAAAATGGTATTAATGAAAAAAAATTGCTGTATAAAACTGGTGAAAGTGAACAAAGACGTTACCTGACAGTCATCCTGTGTTGTATGTATTAACGCATAGTATTTGGTATGCCCTGGCATACTCGAGATGTTTGACGACTCACAGAGGTCTTCTTAAGCACAGATCTGTATATGTTGTCACTTTTCCCCAGAGGCGTGGAGTAACTTTCCAGCCTGCAGACGTGCATGTCTCCATCTGAAAATAGCTCGAACTACAGCACTTGCTCTGAGAGGGGGCTTGCCTCTCACTTTCTTACATCTTTTGCCTTCAGAAACCAGCTGCAGTCTGGGACTTTAACCCTGAAACGCAGCAGATCCTCTGGGCTAAAGTGAGAAGTGTGGACGTGGAGCCTGCTGCCTGTCAGCTCGGACCCAGCGCCTGCTTTCAGTCCTAATGCCTGGTAAGGATTTGCCTTTCATTTTGTTTGGGATTGATTGTGTATATATTTTAGCAAATATATGTATTATTTTTAGTAAGGTGTGGTATAGGGAAGAAGTCTTTTCCCATAAATATCACATAAAAATGTACTTTCAATAATAAAAAAGTCTGTAAATATAATAAAAAGGCTGTAAAGTGCAGTGTAGAAAATAAATACAGTATTTAGCATTAAGCACATATTAAAGAATGATTCATCATATCACTTGAAAAGAAGGGAATCAATTATTAGAAAAAAAAAATACACATGCATGGTACTTCTGTGATTTGTGCTAGGGAATGTTTAAGACAGAATTGAAGCAGCTTTGAGAGGTCAAATGTGACATACAGCATAACGCACACTGGGTGCAATATCAGCACAGGAGCATGAAAAGCTGTCATGAAGATGTCTTACAGGAGGCCGCCTGGCAGACTCTGGGCCTGCTCCTGTTTTTGTTATGGGGGAGGGCTCTTTCGTCACTGTGGTATTTTTAACTTTGTATAATAAAGGAGTGCCCAGTCCCTGTTTCCTGAAACTGAACCCTTGTTATACCACTGTAGGACTGGACAAAGATTATATCATATTAATGATTATCACTTTAAACTTTTCACAAAATTCAATGTATATTTCTCAGAATTTTTGAATTTTCTCAGATTTTCTGTTCTTTTCAATTAAAGGAATCAAGCAAACAGCCACTGTAGCCTGTTAGATTCAAAAGTAAAGTCAAATCTACTTAAAAAAACAATCAAGGCTGGTTTTACTCACTATTCTTCACAAAATTTACACTGAAGAATTACATAGAAAAATGATATTTAATCATTTGCATTCATGCACCAATATAACAACCTACAGAAAAGGTATAGAACCAACATTTTTGTATGAATTTAAAAAGTGAATAAATTAAGTTTTGAATCAGTTCACTTACATTCAATTCAACTCAACATTCAAACGAATAAGTGAAGTTTTGAATCAATTCACTTGAACTGATTCATGGTAAATACAATTTTGTCATCATGTACTCACCCTCAAGTTCCAAACCTGGATCTGTGTCTTCTGTGGATTACAAAAGAAGACATTTTGAAGAACATCGAAGACCAAACCACATGTGGAACCCACTGACTTCTATTGTATGGAGAAATTTCACAAAACATCTTTTATGTTCTACAAAAGAGAAAGGCAGACAGTTTTGGAATGACATGGAGGTGAGCAAATGACAGATTTGGTTTTCTATTTTTTTTGTATTAATATTGAGTGAACTATTCCTTGATGTTTTTATCAGAGTCTTAACAGACTCTACAGCAAGTCACAGGGAATCAAAAGTAAAAGCCTATATGATAAATTAAAAGTGCATTGAAATCATCCCAACACAAGAGTGCTTCATTTTATATTGTCAGCGAATCATATTCAGATATTGCTCAACCCTAGTATACTCTGTACAGTAACACAATAAAGACTTGTTGAATAAATAAATTGTTAAATAGCGTGAATCTATAATCCCTTTAGATCTGCTCAGAAATGTTTGTGAGCCAATTAATTGTTCGCTAAAGCATTTAGGCATGTTTGAAGAGTTTTGAAATACTGGATTTTCTATTTGAAGGCAAAAGGCTTCTCTTTGATATCAGGTGGCTGTTTAAATCAGATTGTTTTGAATGATGTATTGGAGCAACTACACAGGATGTCAACCGATTGGCCGGCGTACACATGGCGATATCATGTCAGAGGACTTAGCAGTCTGTCACTTTGGGTGCCCTCCAGAGGTTAAACACCTAATTAGCAGATGGATCTTCCAGCCCAAGGGAGTGCTTCTGTCAAAGGAATGGGTCCAACTGGTTTTGTAAATGTCAGCCCATTTAGATATTTGTCAGATTGCGTCTAGGAGAAGGTGCTGGCATGCTGAGTGCTGGCTGCTTATCTTGGCTCTCAGGTCGGGTCCCTGTTTCGCTGGTCGTTGTGTGTATACATTATGAGACCCTCTAAAAGCCTTCCTCTCTTTACAAAGCACAGAGCTTCTTACTAAAAGATGAATAAAAAAAGACAGGTTTTGCAATTGTTTTGAAATGATTTCATCAGGATATTTCTATCTGTAGACATCGGCTAATGTGCACTTTGTCAGACTAAACATTCAGAAGACATGCTGAAGATGCCATACATGGCAACACTACCAAAAAAGGAAAGATGCCAATGTTTAGGATGTTCTCTGGTTGGCTGGATATGATAAAACAGATGTAAGAACAAAGCTATGCCAACCTATATCTCAGATTATTATTCGTTGTTTACGTTGTAGTGCTAATGTGTCTATATAATATCGTCAGCACATTGTTGGTGGTCTTTGGGGCCACGAATAATGAGTTCATGGATACTGTCTATATGAAAAACATTGCATTTCTGTGTGGTATATATCACACAGGGCTCAAAAGTAATGCAGATAAATTAATATAAAGCTGTTGGCACAAAACACTAAACAATATTCCTAAAAGCTATTTTACTCACTGTGAAGGATCTCCTGTACCTTCTATACTGCTGGACATAAAATGAGCTGTATACTTTTATTAAGCTCAAGCTTTTGCAGTGTATTATTAAAATAGAACATCAAAATTCTCACAGTTTCAATAGTATAGGCATAGGATGCAGTGGCGACCCATCAGGGGAGGCACAGCTTCCCCGTAATTTTGAGGTTGCAACCCCCCCCCCCCCAAAAAAAACTAAAACGACTGTAAAAATGATTATTTACACAGCTTTACAGCTCAAGTTTTAGCAGTAGGTCACATTTCTGCTTTTACAATTGGCCCCAATCACTAACCCTAATTTGTGTTGGGTTTTTTTCCACGAGGAAAATGAGAGACAAAGTTGATTTCTAATCAGCATTATTATGCTACAAATGTTGTTGATAACTTGCAGTAAACCCAAAATCCTTTGAATTGAGCAGCCTTGTTGAGCGTATATACTTCTTGGAAAAACATTTTCAAAAATATTACTGACCCTGTTGTTATTTCAAAAGCTTTAACAGTTACAGTGTGTTTATTCCTTCTGGTCACTCTTAAATATTAAATTCAAGTACAACACAGCCAGTTTCTATTAGGAGCTAGATATAGCAATGAAATTATACTCCTAAAGCACATGGGAGCAATTTAAGCAATTATTTGAGGCTTTAGAAACTATGTGTTGGTCTCGTTACATCAAACGGAAAGCACAGCAGCAAACATGCACAGTTCCCAACTTAATGTAATTGTGATTCAAAAGTTACCATTTAGGAGAACATAGAGCTTGTTGTGTCCTGACTCAGATGCTCATATAAATAGCCTGTTTGGAAATCCCTGATGAAAAGCAAGAGATTCTTCCTATTTTGGAGAATGCAAGCAGCATATGCAGCATATTAGTGTCTTACTTAGGGGATTCGAGAGAGCCCATTACTCGGATGTTATGTTTTACCGTCAGGAAAGACAGGAGCCGTAATGTAACCATTAAATTGTTCTTCTGAGGACATCTATTTCAAGACATCCATAATAGAATCTCCAACAGGTAGGATAAGCATCAACAGAATCCATAGCTTTCAAAGGGAATGCAATTACTGTTATCACATTATGCACATAAAAGCATTCAGAACAAAAACGTTCTGTGTTCTGTGGTAGAATGTTCCATTCAGAATAGTATTTCTGCTTTGTTTTCATGGCGTTTTCTGATTATGCTTTTAAATTTAAACTTAAACTAACATCACTAAAAGATTACAAAAACCCATACTGCTTTTGTTATCTATAAAGCTGATAACTTTAATTTTACAACATTTTTTGCAAAGTCTCTCCAAACCGTATGCTTGCAGCATTAGCCTGACTGTGTGTCTTGTATTTATTTTCATAAATATATCTGTAAATCTAAATAATCTTTGAATGAAAAGAGTGAATAAAGCTGCTTTGAAGACAGCAAATTATAGCCTCGAAAAACTTGTACCCTTCCGGCCTTTGAATAATTCATCACAGATAAATTAGACTAATAAATGTTAAGACCGAATCCATTAATGCCATCAGTTCTGTCTTAGCTCTTGTCTACTGGTTTACTTGGCAGCGTAGCTGTTTTTATTTTTCTCCATCCCTGGCACTCGAGCACTAATCATGGAGATGAATAACATGGTTTCATCTCTGACTTCTGGTAAAGGCTTTTAGGCTGAGGTGAAAATGGCCTGTGTCCAGTCCTTACACAGAAGTCTGACAAATCTGACTATAAATAAGCCATCAAAACAGAACAACATGATCACCATAGCACCATGCGTGTACAAAGAGTATGAGTGTGTATTTTCACTTAGCTTGTGTCTAAAAACAGCATGAAATCAAAACTGACCCAATTTTATAAACGCACTTAAGCTTAATGTCTATGATTCATCAGCCCATGTACATTACATTCTAAAGAAAAAAGTTTGCTTTCAAAAGTTGAAAACACAGTTGACCCAAAAATGACCAAAACCCCAGTTATTTTTTTAAAAGAACACAAATAATTTAATAAATATCCTTTTTGAATGAAGAAAAAATACAATAGCAGTACAATGTGACTCACCTTAATAAAGGTAGCCAAGTGCATCCGAAAAAGGCATGCTTTTCAAGTGCTCTCATCAGTTTTGCTGAAAAAATTACTTAATATTTTAGCAATTTTAACATCAAAATTGCACCGGCTGCCATTAATCTCATGTAGGCCATCAAGCATGTAACACTCCTATAAAATCATGGCGGTATAGCCTTTGCTGTACTGTGCACCATTTTGTGCTTCTGACATTTCTGCGCATGTAAAAGATTAATTTCTGCCACCTACTGGACTGGAGCGTGAAGCGCAAAAAGGCACACAGTAGGCGCGTTTCCATTACAGATTTGCGCAAAACTTTGGCGATATTTTATAAATGTCGATAAAAAAGTATTGCGAAATGACGGCGTTTCCATTAACCAATGTTATGCGACTAAAACATAACCTTTTGCCTCTCGCGATAAGTCATGGCAACGGAT